CCACACTAAATAGTGTTGTTTTATAACACTACAATTAGAGTTAATTTGTAGTGTAATTTTCCCCAAGTAAGCAAGTATGATTTAACACTATAGCACTGAGGATAAAGTAATTTTACACTGTATTAGTGTTAATTTACCTAAAATCGTGTACTTCTACACTTCTTGGATAAAATCCCACTTTTGTTCAGTGTAAATTAACACTACTTTGGAAAAGTTCTAATTTTAGAAAGGTACTTTTACTCTTTTAGTGCAAACTTGTAGTGTAAATTAACACTATTATTTGAGTAAATTCTATTGGTGGTAGTGAATAAAACGAAAAGGTAAAAAGTAAATCAAGTGTGTATGTATTTATATTATTAATGTTACAAGTACCCGACCTACTGCCGTAAATTATTGATATATAATATAGGTCGGGTATGGACATCCTTTTAACATATTGGTATTTATTGAGTATTAAGGCTTAAAGAAAAAGAAAGTATAATACTCACCAAAAAATAAGAATGTCACCGTAATTAAAATCTAACTGAACAAAAATACCACACTTCCACAACGCGGTATCTCTGGATATGCACTGCGTAGGTAGATATGTACCTGGTACATTCTACCAACCAAATATTTTCAAACGCATTTCGGTTATTTGTTTTTTCAGTCTATTTTGCCACTATTGGTGTAATTTAACTTTAATTGTGATAAAATGTGCACTGGTAGTGTAAAGAAAAAAGAGCTCTTAGTAACATCAAAACAGACAAAGAAATTGGCATGCACTGTGTGTACATTTTGTCACTATTTAACACATTAAGGGGTAATAAACACTCACATTAAGTTTTTCTACCCTTTTGATTTATTTTAATAAGAAATTGTGTAAATGTACCAATGAATAATGTTTATATTCTTTAAATGTGTTTAATAAAGTTAATAAGCACTAAATGCTACCTAGTGTATTTTGTAGTGTAACTTTTACACTTACAAATCAACTCTAATATTTTTACCCCTACACTAAAAAATTTACACGGGCAAAATTTTTTACTGTATACTGGTAATTATCTAATTCCAATAAATCCATAGCAGTAGGTTATTGTTTTAAAACAATTTTTGACTCACTACCCAAAGCCCGAAACGTGCTTGGGGAAACATAAAGAAAATAAAAGAAATTCCAGACAATTTTTGCAGGCTAAGGCAATAAATAAAATATAAGTATTAAACGACATTTCTAGCACTTAAAACTAGTAATAAAAACGATACATCGGTATTTTTGTATATCAAAAAAAATATTGATTTATTTTTAAATACATATATCGGTATAAAATATTAATATTTTTCAATAAATAATCCCTTTTTGTAAATATCAACCTAAATCTTTAAAATATGTTATATTTAATAAATAATTATAATTATTGTGGATTTTGTTTTGGTATATTTGTAATAAATTTTATTAATTCGATTGGATACATTTTTTTATTGAAACCTAAAATTTCCAACATTTTTTTATGCCTAATAAAGCTTTTATATTAAAATCGATGCCTTAAATCAAAAAAATTTATTCCACAAAAAGTGCTTAAAATAGTAAATTTTAACCCTAGCCACAAAAACCCTATATCGATATATTTAATATATCGAAATATTTGTTTTGATAATATAATAATTTCAATCTACCATCCCTACTAAATCCAATTAACTAGGTTGCGATTAAAAAGTTTATTTAGACAAGCATAGTTTTTATTTATTTTTATAGATACGTATACCTATACGTCTAAGCATTTTATCTAAGCATTATAAAGGGTGTCCCATTAAGACCGCCCATTTTAAATTTCCTGTCATTTTTTTTGTGTCAATCGTACATCGTTGTTGTTGGACAGTGGTCATGTGTGAACATTGAGGTTAAGTCATGGATATTTTCACGAACGCACAACGCATAGAAATTGTAAAATCCACTATCGAAATGGTGAGAATTTTTCGGAAACGGTTTACTGTGGTCCGATTAATCGAGCAATTTGAAACGATTGGGTCAATTCAAACCAAAAAGAGACATGTCCGTGTTCGTGCATCTCGGTCTGCTGAAAATATTGAAGCAGTTAGTGAAAGTGTTAAAAATAATTCTTCCACCTCGATTCGCCACCGTTCCCAGCAATTGAGACTCTCTCGAAGCAGTTTACAGCGAATTTTGGCCAAAGAACTGCATTTTCATGCGTACAAGATTCGGTTGACACAATATTTAAAGACAGCAGACGATGCACAGCAACGAAACCATGGAATTATTGAGGACAAAATTTGAAGGCAGACTTATCTCGCGCCGCGAGGATGTGATGTGGCCAGGCCGACCATGCGATTTGACGCCGTTAGATTTCTTTCTTTGAGATTTTTTGAAGGAAAAGGTTTATGCTAATAACCCAAGAACAGTTCCTAAACTAAAACATGAGATTCGACGAGTCATTGATGAAATTGAGCCGGCACTATGCCAAAATGTAATCGAAAATTTTGTCAAAAGAATCAACGTGTGCCGTCAGTCACGAGGCGGCCATTTATCGGATATTGTGTTCCATATTTAACCTCCATGTCTTCCCTCTTTATTGCAATAAAAATATCTTAACTTTTTAAATAAACACGGCATTTCTTTTAATTTTAAAATAGGCGGTCTTAATGGGACACCCTTTATAAGCATCTATAGATGCTTAGACCGCAATTAAAGTTTATATGTTTATATAATTACAGACCGGCAGAATACCTATCATCAGTTTTATTAACCCGGTGAAAATTCTTCACTTATGCCTTTTTTGTCTTTAAATGACTAAGGGCCGGTTTATCAATGTCCAAATAAAAGTGGCAGTTAAGTATCTTACAGTTACCTTTATCTGACAGTTATCCGAATAGAAGTATTTTTCTTCACCTTGTAAGGTTCCAGTTTCGTATCTGCCAGTTATTTGGCAATTGGGCAACACTGTCAAGATACATTTTAATTGGTTAAATTTAAATTCATGACATGCCCATAAAATACATAACCTTAAACAACTCTTATTTTGTGTATATTATTATGCTTCTTTATTATTTTATAGGTGTAGATATGGGTATGTTTTTAAATGAAAATACGCAAGTACATAAATATCTTTTATACAATTTATTATCTTTTTTTTGTAACACACATTAATTTAAAAATATCGCATTTTTAAAATAACTTTACCAAAAAAATCTATCGGTTCAAATTGTTCTTTTGATACGTTGACAAATATGTAGAACTTGTACCTACGTATACGTAAAAGTTTCTATTTCCTCTATATTTGCTTCTGCAGCTGTTATCTAAAAAAATCGTCATAATTTTGAAAATATTCTTCGTGTTCAAAAACTTTATAAGTCTTCTCTCATGTTGTTTTGTTTATCGTCGTGACTTTAAAAAAATCTCCAATATTCATTTCAAAAACAATACTACACAAATATACCTAACCTATAGGTAAACCGCGATAACTGCTGGTTAATTCACTATCTGAGACTTGCAGCTTCCAGTTAAATTTACTTCCAGTTATCTTAATTTAAGTTCTTAGAAAACGTTGGTTGCATATTGATAAACAGTTTAGCTACCACTTTAATTTTATTTACCACACAGAAAAAAATCTAACGTAGTACCAAGAACAGCGCTGTCATTGAATGCATTAAAATTGAAACAATCTAAATTGTTATTTGCTCAATTAATTACTGTTAAACCAAAATAGGGAAATATTTTGCCTAAATGTCAAAGAATTTATTGCGTTAAATGTATACAATGTATAGGTACTATACATACAATAGTAACGTTATTAAATAAATCAAATTAGTATTTAATGCAATAACATTCTAACATTCTAACAAATAAATATAGATATGAATATCAATAGATTTAGGAGCGATAACTTTTGTCATTTAAAAACAGTAAACGATTATAAACCAAGTGCTAACTACCTATTGGTATTATAGGAACTGTTATTCAGGAATACGGATTACAAGATCCCATTGGTTTAATGGCTCACCCATTCATGCTATGCTAGCGTTTTTTCTGTGCAGTTAAGACACTTATCTGCACACTGATAAACCGGCCCTAAGAGATACCTAAACATAACCTAAATGCCTAGTAAATACAGGCAAAAAATAGTAATCTAAATCGCAACACACTTTAAGTCGGGTCTAAATTGTCGCAGGGGTCTGATCGCAGGACATAAACATAAAAAAATCGCAATACGCTATGCAAGTCGTTATGTCAGCTATCTACGCGCGAAGAGCATTTGTTGTCCACAGTGTTGCCGTATTCAAGTATTCGTAACCTTTCTTTCAACGTTTGTTTAGCTTTGTAATCATTGTTCTTTTTTAAATAGAACAAACTTTCACTAATTTTATTAACTTAATAACCGGCCATATTCGTTATTTTTTATTATTTTATAACAACCCAAAATTACAAGGTAGTTTCAGCAAACTTAATAAAAGTAATTAAGTAGATAGTATTTTGCATGAGAATATATGAAATTTAATTAATTTTAAAACAAAAGTTAGCTTGTTATGATAACAATGTTATCATAATGCTATTAGGAAAACAAATTGGATTGGACAAATAGTTAAGATCATTTAAAATCATTTATAATATACTAATATAATAAAATCAGAGAGAGATAGGTTCTGGGTTGACATAAAAATCCGCGATCTACGGATCTATGGTGCGATACTATAGTAGGTAAATAGGTTACTATAGTAAATACTCTTGTTCAATTATGTCGTTTATCCAATAAAATATTTTTGCTCTGATCTTAAATTATGAGAGCAATAGCGTCGACTTTTTTTGCTCTTAAAAAAAAATATAATTTAAGAAATTTTTTTTTTTAAATTGTATAAATATTTTAAAAAATTTCAACTATTTATTTTGCCACTTTTGGGTGCCTTTTTTAAATATTTAATTGCCTGAAAGTTCGGTGTAAATAAAATTTATATATATATATATATATATATATAACTGTTTAAAATTCAAATTTTGCTCTGTAGTTTACCTGGTTTTGAGTTAAGTCCACACAAAGAATCGGCTTGTTCAAGTTTTCGGCTGTCCAGTCCCATTGATCCACCAATTTGGACGTAATCATCCAAACCTCTCTTTTGACACTACAACAATAATAAATTAAAATTAAATTAGGATATATATACATTTGTGGTGATGGTCAAACTGCAGGTTAACAATAAATTATCATGCTTCACGTTCACAGATAGATAATAGTTAAAATTTTACGAGCGGTTAAACACGCGTAACATTGCTAAATGATCTAATTAACTTAATTAAATGCAACAAGATGAAAGGTACAAGATCAATCCAATTATTTCAAAAGCACATCCTACACACCTAGGTACATCAAAGAAATTTTAAAAGGAAAATATTCAATAATAGTAGCACAGGTTATATTTGCTCAAACATTAAAAAACTACCTCTTTCTTATTCAAAAGTCAACATCAAAAGCTCCTTAAAGGTTAAAAATAAACATACTTCCATACTTCAAAAACATAAAATGTACCTAATATTTTAATCTTAAAACAAAAGATTATAATTATAATTATTGTGATTAACCAACAAAATTTAAGAATCACGTTTAATTTTGGGCCAAATAAGAAGCCCTCGACTTTGTGTCCAGATGTCCACATTACAAATAAGTAAGTATCCTTACGTAAAATTTTTTTAAAACAGTTACCTTTTTGGTAGTGTTTATTTTTTTTATACAGATTGCAATGGAATATTCCTTTGCAATCTAATCTGTATGCAAAAAAGATACACTTCCAAAAAAGTTTTGAAAAAGAATCATGCAAGATAACTGATCTCCCACGGTACCTGGATAACCTTTTAACTACAAATTCCTGGAAAACGTCAAAAATTATTTGGCTTTATGACAGGCTGCGCTGTCAAAAAGTCATTGACGTGCTTTTAATAATACTGTGCATTGTTGTTACTTCAAAAAATAATCCAAGGAATGAGAGATCGATAAATTTAAAATAATTTACCGTGCTTTTTTGTATTTTTAAATAAATATGTCGAGTTACTCCAATCTACAAGCTGATTAAGTCTCTAGAAGGTGTAAGAAAGAAAATGAAACCACAAATAAAAAAATTACCAGGCGGTTTTTTATTGGCGGCAAAAATGATTTACTAGCTTTTAAAATATTATACACTGTTATAAACATCAGATATGTTAACATGATTGATGATTTTAGAATGGTGTGTTATTTAATTACGTAAATGTTATTTTTATGTTTATTTATGTGTAAATTTTTTTATTTAGATAGTAGTACTAATAAAGCAAAATTTTTTATCAAAATTCTTTTCATTTAAGTTTCCAATTTCCTACAAATACTTTTGTTACTGGGTCTACAATAAGGTTTGTAAAAATAAGGTCCTTTTTGAAAATTACAATTATGGTTGAATTATTGTTATTAAATCTACTACATATTCAATTAGTTAACAGATTACAGTTGGTTGTAAACTTAATATAAAGTTATGTTTACCTGGATTAACATAAAATCTGTTTAATATTTGGTTAAATTTAAAAATATATTTTTACTGTGTAGTAGTTTTTTTTTCTGGTCACATTTTCTTTCTTACACAATCAGCTTGCAGATTGGAGTAACTCGGCAACTTTATTTAAATCTACAAAAACGTACCGTGAATTCTCCAGATCTTTTCTCAAACCTGTTGCCAAATAGTTTTAAATTTATTCTCACTCTCTAGCAGTGGCGGCCCATCATAGAGAATTATAAAATTAAGTATAATTTAAATATTTTACTTTCTATAATATACTATAAATTTTTAATATTTGGATTACATGAATTCTGAAATAGTCAATATATATACGTGGAATACCCAGCAACATTTAAATTATCTGACTTTGAAACGACCGCAATTTAAACTAATATTTATAGCTAGATCATTGGCTCAGAAGCATGCCTGAACTAATTTAGACTCACGATTGGCGTTAGCCTTGTTGTTCTATTACAATGCGATATCATAGTTGTCTCCTTTTCTCGTATTAGCATACGCGAGGCAGGCACGCCTACATCCAAGGAAATAACCAGGTGTTGTGGCAACACTGTTGCGGAATTTTAGATAAATTATACTTCACACGTTTTTCAAAATTCAATAATAAATGGTATTATTTTTCTTATAATAAATCGATTTAATCAAAATTATTTTTCTATTCTAAAATAAACATATTTTAACACTATTGCCATCACAGTAACCAATAAAATAAATACAGATTCCTTCTTTAGGTTTGTTTTGGTTATAAAATTCTGAACTGTTTAAAGAACAAATCTGTGGTTATTTACGCAATATTTTGTTTATTCTTTTTCTATAAGTTTGTCTATTTTATGATTCTTTAGTAAGTGGTTTATTCTGTGGGTTTAGTTAATTTAACTTGGTGATTTATGTGAATTTAGTCATTATGGATATTACGGTGAGAAATTGTACCGACTTTTTTTTTACTTAGTTTTAAGTATAGGTTGTGAACTGCGACGTCAGTTTTTTTAAGTTGGGTTTAAAAAAATTTTTTCGCCTTTAAATGAGGGCGAAACCCTGCCTCTGCCTCACCAAAATGAAATGTCACGGGCCGCCACTGCTCTCTAGTCATATTACTAATAAAAAATTTGTATGCCAACGGGTTGAAGGTAAGAAATGAACAATTAGGAAATTATTTTGCCCATCCTCGGTATAATTTCATATGTATTTCTCATAATTTATGTATGCTTTTTTTAAACTTTCAAATCTATCTATAATGACTGGGCTAACTCGGTTGGAACATAATAGAGCAGCATGCAATACCTGAAATCGAACCTTGTGAATTGTTCCGGTTTCCATTTCTACTCCTCTTCCGATAGACGGTGTGACACCGACGTTGATACCTTCCACCTTGACGAACGCCGGAAACAACGTGCTTAAGCTACAGTTGGACCGTCTTCCGTAATTTCTCATCGTAAAAACTTGTTCAACGTCTTGAACCATTACATTGCACGCTGAAAGAAGATTAGAAATTGTTTAACATTTTATTGATAATACAAAGAAATATTTAATTGGATTAGTTTATTGTCTTAAAATCAATGCTGTTCATTTTGATTATAAGAAATTTGACCAACAATTTACCATTATTTTATTTACTGCTGATAATTAGACATTAACGATGATGCCCGGTCAATATTGACTTTTCCTGGCCAATATGTCCGGGTGGGTAGTGTTCATTATATTGCTATTGCTATATAACTTGCCAAACCTTTTTTATGTTAAACTAAACTTATTCAAGTTAACAGGTTCAAGGTCAGTACTAAACCCAATTCCGCGCGCGCGTTGACATAATAATATTATGTATTTACTACAAATTTGACTTTAAAAGATTGTAATATGATAAGTCCAATATTTAAAAAAAATATTTTATACCGTTTTAGTGCCGGGCAAAATAATACTTATTTATGTCATTAGGTTAAGAAGTAAGGCTTTTTGTGCTAAGCTCAAAGTTTGTTTGAGCGAAGCACAAAAAGACACTTCTTGGCCGAATGGCATACAACATTTTATCTTCAAAGCACTTTATATAGGTCAATTTAATTCAACATAAAAGCGGCCTAACCTCACTTTTTTAGAATCTCATTTATTTGTAAGCTAAAGATTACATTAAATGTATTGTATTAAATGTACAATAATTATTATTCCTTTTAGAAGCAGTAATAGTTTGACAATACCTAGCTACATGATTTAAGTAGAAATGTTTACTTACCCTCTTGCTATTACATTGAATTCAATTAATTGTTTAATAAATACGTATCTAATTTCAATTTGTTTGCATTTTTATTAAAAAAATAGGTAATTTGGAATGTTTACGCTGTGTTTAACATTTAATTTCACTGAAAACTTAAAGCAAATTAAAACTTAAAGATAATTTAAATCGTAGAAAAAGAAAACACAACTGTGAAATCCACAGAAACGTCAAATTGCAATGTCCTAACCTCACTTTTTGTTTTATTATTCATATTTAATTTTACAATAATTTAATGAAAAATAATAAACATTAACAGTAAAACAAACAAATTGGTACTTATTATAAATAAATTAAACCAGTTTAGTACGTTAATTTCTTAGAAAAGGATTCATTTGTCAAAACAAGCCCCTAGCGAGAAAAAATCAAACTAATTACTTGCCTCATAAAAATCGGCCTAGGCCATAACAAGTTATTTCTTTATCGAATGTTGACAACAATAAAGTTTAAATTATAGACCGCGTGGAGATAAAAATAATTTTTCTTAAAATATTATTTTATTATATAGGTAATAATTATGACAAACATGATTTTTTAGCAGAAACCATGCCACAAACACGACACAAAATAATATAATATAAGTATTATTACTAATAAATAAGAATTTAACCAATTCCATAAGTAATCGACACATAGACAACATTTTGCGATAAAGCCGCCTATGCCTATTAAATAAATTGTATCCTATTTAAATCGTTTAGGAATTTATATCAGTCGGTCAGTGAACCTTCTAAAAGCCGCTTGTTAAAACACCCCATTTTGATAAATTCGTTAAAAGCGAACAATGTCCTGTGGGAATATTTAGTTGCCTGTAGTATACTATATTTCTGTATAAAAGTAAATTACTTCCAAACAACTCAAGCCCTTATTTCTTATTTGATTACATAAATAAAAGTAACATATTTTTTAGATTTAAAGTATTACATGTAAGTAATCTGACACCTTTAGCCCAAAGTTGTGTTAAGAAAAGTAAATAACAAATATTTGTTTACCTTCAGGCGTTCTATAATTAAAGCTTTATTAGTTTCAGAAATCACTACCAAAGTATTTGATTATCTCCTAGGCTGGAAAAATAAGTCAGGTAAAGTTTCTAGTTTCTACCAGTAAAAATCCCGTAAGGACCAATAAAAGCTCTAAGCTATTTAACGTATACTTATACTTTTAATAATTGATATTATAATAAATATTGTGAGCACATTAATAATTACAAATTATTTTAAATCCACAAAAAAACTACCTTGGCAAAAACACTTCATCGTCTACTTTAAAGAAATAAAATTAGGACCCCTTTTTGTTCTGAATACGGTTCTGTATACGTAAGTACTTGAGCAATTGAAAAGATTTAAAAGCAGCGAAAAAGTAGATATTAAATAAAAAACAGGTTTATTAAGAAAGACAATTTAAACAAGAGTTAATATTATTTCTATTGTACAGTCACGTGCATTGGATTAGTTTTACCTTGCTTAAGAGCCTAGAGTAGGCGGAACTATAACTCCAACCACAAGAGATTTTTGAATATCGTTGCTACTGAGCTATTGCTCCCAACTGTACATTAATAATATAAAAAACAATTATATTTATTTATTATTGATTTAAGTTAATAAGAAAAAACCTATTCTGTGGTAAAACCTTCTAGAACATTCCAGACATGCATACGGGTCGCACATCTCAACAACAATGTGGAACATTGAGTATAAGTATAAGTTAAATTACAATCAACAATAATAAATGGCAGTGGTAATTAAACTATACAATGTGTATTAAAACGACTTAAATAAAACAAGTGCCAAACCCCGCCCACTGTGGTAGGGATTGAATTTTAGAATTATTTTTGTTTGAGAATTTATAGGTTTTATTTTTATCGAATTCGTTTGTTTTGTTTTAATGCATTTCTGCAAATAAAAACTAAGTATTGTATAAAATCCATTAAATTCCAGTTAATGGCGAAAATGTATTTCTTAAAAACTATACACATTTCCCTACGACAGCGTCGAAGCTACTGAACAAACACAGTAGATCAAACTGCATGCCCTTGTATCTGGCTGCATGCCGCGCTGTTGCCATATGCTATTATTGTTGTTTTTCTTATTTTTTTAATATTAAAAGTAAGAAAATTAACTAAATCAAATTATTTTTGACATATTATTAATTTTTTTGTTATTTTTAAAGTTTCAAACAAATAAAATTGAACTATTTATTAAATAATTATAATCGTTCTCTTCTGATTTAAAACAACCTGGCAACTATGGTTCGTAATTACGAATGGCTTGGTTTAAACCACGCCCAATTAAAGTTTGTTTCTTTTTCTCTGATCAGAATATAATTTGTCATCCTTGTCTCCAGCCTTACTTACTTGATTCTATACAGTCATAAATAACAAATACAGTCGGGTATAATAAAGTAATAAAAATATGTCGGTGCAAATCAAATATAACAGAATTAAATGATTATCAATAAAAATAAAACAAGACAATAAAACAACTTCATATCAATAACCCTAAATAATCATTTTTTGTCAATCTAATTTGGTTAATTGGTTTATATGAGTTTACAATGACATTATATAGACAAAATCTGCGCAAGCAGAATTTAAATTGAAGTTTGCGAAAAAAAGTTAGTTTTTAAGTGTGCCCCCCAGCCTCCAGCTCCCCCAAATTAAGATAATTCAAATTAAAGTGGTACAATATTTAATTCACTGCAGTTTATTGACAAATTTCAAATTTTATTAAAAAATTTCAAGAATTACAGGTTTTATACCATTTTAAATTTTTATTAGTTCTTTTACTAAATAGAAATGGTATAAAATCTGTAATACTTGATTTTTTTTAATGAAATTTGTCGATAAACTTCAGTAAATTAAATATTGTACCACTTTAATTTGAATTATATTAATATGGGGGGGCAGGAGGCTGGGGGTGCATACTTAAAAACTAACTTTTTTTCGCAAACTTCAATTTAAATTATGCTTGCGCATAAATTTGATGTGGTTCCTATGTCTAATAACTGAGATATGGGTGTGCCCAAAATCCACCAGCCGCCACTGGTAATTATTGGCAATTGGTTGCGCATGTCAAAGCAAAGCTGTATCCACCGACCTTACCAAAAACAGTCAACAAAGTTTCCTAACTAAATAGTTTATTTAATATGCAGAACTTGAAACAAAGTCTCAACATATTAAATAATCAATATCAATTTGTCAAATAAATTAAAAAACATAAACTGTACAAAATAAAGTTTGTAAAGGTTAAATAGAAATATGTAGTAAAAGGGTAGATTACATTACAATACAATATATTAAAGTAAAATGTAAATACTGAAAAGATAAACTTATAGTAATGATTATAATAAATATGTATTTTGGTTTGTCCAACCACAACCCTTACAATACAAAGTCCACTCTACCTATTCCTTTTTTCAAAAGGAACAAAATGAAATAATAGTAAAATATTGTTTAAATTAAATATTAACTAAATAACCAATAATTATGATCTTCATGATCTGAAATTATAATAGTAACTATAAAATGATATACCTAGTTAGATAAATACACTTTTACAATAACTGAATTTATATACATAAACTTGCTTATTTTATCTTATCAACTTTATTTTATCAACAGTAGGTTTGGCACAAAATTTTAGTTATTTGATAAAAAATTACTCTTTAATTTTCCCAGGTTTCGGAAGTATTTAGAAAAAAAACTTTATTTTAAGCTCTTTATTTCTTATAATAATTTATTCCAGCCAATACACATAGAAAACTTTAATTAAAAAGTAAAACATATTTAAGCAAGAAATGAGAGCATTTAATTTAAATATAAAATAAAACATCATTAAAAAAATAATGATCTAAATCTTCTTGAGAATACCTTTACCAAGTACGAGCTTATTATGCTTACTAGCAATAGCTTGTTTAACCTTGCACTTTATTTTAATGGCATTGGACAAGTATCTTGTAAATATTGATATAGGTTCTAATTTAATTCCTTATATTTTCTCCTCATTAAAAGTCAGGATCAGTTAATATTCAAATGTTTTTAAAAATTCAGGATTGTATATATATATATTTGAATAAATCTGATTCCCCATTTGGCAGTATCATGAATAACTCTAATCTTACTATACTTTTTTCGAAATTCTAAGAAAACCGGATCAGATGGCTAAATCTAAGGTGGTACTTTTAGGACTTCTAGACTTTTGAATTTTTTTA